ATTTTAAGCGTATAGTTCAGTGAGTTTCTTGTGTTCATCACCACACTCAACACAAAACTGTGTTGCTGTTTGACCTCTTCCAGCCTCTCTCCCTGGTGGGTTATGCCCTGCAGACAATCCTGCTGATTTTATGTTAATCGGGTTTATGGTGCCTCTCCACCCAGACATACAGTCTGTCTTCAGACATTGTCAGAGGTAAAAAGACAACTCCCATGCAAACATATAAAGAGCAGGCTCCAAGGATTTTACTCAATTCATTCATTAATGAGGGAAGATGTAATGAGTTAAGACATTAGAACTGGTTCAAAGAGTGTTTCAGGACCTAGGGATTTGTAGGCAGTTTAATAAAGGAATGTTAAGAAAAGATTGCTCAGTTAGGCACAAAACTGGTTGACATCTTAAAAAACAATAAACTGCATCATTTGGGAGTGTATTTTCTTGTTTTAAAGTGTAGGTTTTATTATTTAGGTATGATCAGGCCAACAGATTAGGAGATGAGTACCATTGAAAAGATAGTTTGTTACTCATGGCTCCCGAGTAACAAGGGGGCTGCCATACCATGCCATGCTATGCAGGGCCACACTGGGAAACCCAAGGTCTGTTGGAGGTAAGACCCTCCTTTACAGTGGTTTCTGTGGCTGAAAGGAGTTAGGTGAGGCAGGCAGGCTGGGCAGGGTTAGCAGCAGCTGGTATGAGTCACTCCAGCAGGGTGTTGACAGAGGCCATCCTGCTCAGTAGAGGAGCTCTGAGCATGGCTTTGTGGTGTTTTTGGTGGAATGTGCTTGCAGGGCAGTCACTTGCTGGCTCTAAGAGTGGACCAACCCTACCAAGGTGCTATCTCTCCCAAGAGGCCCCGAATGCCAGAGCATCAAGAATATAGAAAATAAGACACAAAGTGGATCTCAAGTAGACAGAACTATTTGTGCCTCTACTGGTAAATATCTTACAGTTAACTCGTGATTTGACTAAGTTCAGTACTATAGTAAAGAGTAAGTGGACCAAGTGGCTTCCCCTAATCCTTAGGTGGGGCTCTCCCTTTGCATGACATGAAATGACGTTCCATCCTCCTTTTCTTTTTGTCCCCAAGTTCTGGCCATCAGTACCATCTTCATAAACTCCATGGCAACTTCAGGTTAACTGCTGAGACTGTGGACATTGGAACGTGGGCTCCAATTTGGCTCTGCAACTGTGAGCCCTGTGCCCCTGGGCTTTACACCTGCCCTGTCTGTGCTTCAGAAGCCTTGTACGGGAAGGAGGGACCTGGTCTCAAAAGGACATTAAAATCAGTAGCTGCATGGTATAAATTTTTCTATGCTTTTACTTTCGATCTTTGTGTCTTAATATTTAATATCAGATCTCTAAGACTTCAAGCATATAGTTGGATTTTAACTCAATCTGATCATCTTTGTATTGAAGTAGTTTGTATACAGTTAATATACATAAAACTACATTCAAGTTTACCTCTCCATCATTTTGTTTGCTTTTTCTTTTTTCTGTTTTTTTTTTTAGACAGAATCCTGGTCTGTCACAATCATAGTAGCATCATCATGGCTCACCCCAGCCTTAAACACCTGGGTTCAAGTGATCTCCTGCCTCAGCCTCCTGAGTAGCTGGTACCATAGGCATGCACCACTGGGGTGTAGTTAATTATTTCTGTTTTTATTAGAGATACGGTCTTCCTCTTCCTCAGACCAGTCTTGAACTCTTGCCTCAAGCAAGTGAACAACCATACCTGCCTGTTTGTTATTTATTCCATCTTGTTTTCTTAAAACACCTATCATGGGCTCCTTGGATTAATACAGTATTTTTATTATTCCATTTCCTCCTTCCACTAACTTGTTAAATTCTTTGACTGTTCTTTTAGTGATTGCTTTAGGGTAGTGCTGCCTAATAAGAACCTTTCCTAAGATGGAAATATTCTGTGACTGTGCTGGCACCCACATATGACTCCCTGCCCCAGGATTTAGGGACATCTGTATTCCTCTGTAACAGAGATGTGCAAACTTCCTTGGTGAGGGACAAGTTGGTAAATAGTCTAGGTGTTCCAGGCTGTATGATTTCTACTTAACTCTGACATATAAACTGAAAGCAGTCATAGATAACATGAAAACAAATTAGTGTGGCTGAGTCCTCCAAAAACTTTATTTACAAAACAGATGGCAGGTGATTTTATGACCAGCAAATTTGCCTACCACTGCTCTGTGGCCTCATCCCCTTTGAGGTGACTTTGTTTCCAGGGCTCCACCTCAGAATAGAGCCTTTTCATGACAGACTATTTTGTAATCTAATCTTTTTGGTCCAGTGGTGACAGCAGTTTTTCCACTATTGCTTGTCCCAGTTAATGCATCAATCCTATGTGGCTTTCTTATTCTCACCCACACCTCTGTTAATTAAACTTTCTTCAGTCGAACATTTTGAGCTGCCATCTTTACCTGCTAAGATTCCAACATAGGTAATTCCACACTTATGTCATAGTAAGTATTTTACTGTGTCCTAAGTAACAATAAGCAATTTATGCATGTGTCTCCTTACATCACCAGACAGTGTAGGGGCAGATATCATGTCTTGGCTGTGTTCATATTCACCATAAACCCTACTGTTGGTCCACGCAAGCAACTACAATGCATAATCTTTCCTAAATTGCAGGAGCAGTGCAAAAATGATGCAAGGAGAGGTCAAAATTAGGAAAAAAGATGAGTGTTTTCTGAATGGGCAAGTGGTGAAAGAGGAAATTTTCCAGATAGATGGAGTATGTAAAGTAGAGCTGATAGATTTAGTCTCAATGTCATCACAGGAAGGAAAAATTACCAGTACCTGGTGTGAACAGAGTCAATTGCTGAGAAGTGGTGGGGGAGGAGATGGTGTCAACAGTCAGTTGAGGAGTGGCAGGTGAGATGGTGTGAACAGAGTCAGATGTTGAGTGGGAGGAGGAGATGGTATGAACAGAGTCAGTTGTGAGGAGTGGTGGGTGAGGAGATGGTGT